GTGTGTGTGTGTGTGTTTGTGATGTGATGGTGTGGTGGAGTAGGAGAAGGGGCTTTTAGCTGGTGGACTGCCCATAATGTCCAGCAGGATGTGAGGTCACATGACAAAGATGGCTGGTGGGTGGTGAGAAATTATTGGTTTCCACGGTGATAATGGAACTTTTTTTTCTATTTAGTGGTAACCGAACAGGAGGTTGACATCAGAGAGAGAGAGAGACAGAAAAGAGGACAGCACAGTATTTTTGTCCAACGTCACAACTCTCTATACAAAAACAAGCATTCAACCCCTCTGGCTTATACAGTAGGAGTGTTTGCATGTGTGGTGGAGGGGGACAAAAAGGGGAGGGGAGGATGGAGGGAGTGGGGGACACTGAGGTAGGTGGGGTGGGCAGGCCAAAAAAAAGTCAATAGGGTGGGAGGAAAGAGCTGAAGTCATCTGCACAGTCAGAGGACAAAGGGGAAGAGCAAACAGGGGTGGGGGGGACAGAGCGAGACACAGTGAGGCCTGGAGCAGAAAGACAGAACTGATAATAGACTGTGGAAAAAGTGAGAAAGATGAACCACAAAAAAAGAGAGAGGAGGAAATAGAGGGGGAGAGGCCTCAGCACGATGTAGTTATCTCACCCATAGCATGTCAAACACCGAGCCATGAAGAAAGGGGTTAAAAATTAAGTCCACACAGTCTAAAATATTAAATCTATTTTGGTTTTTAATGAAGGAGGAGTGAATTAGGGAGGAAATATGAGAGTAGATTATTAATCCAAGAGCGAGGCGAAGGGAGGGAGTGAAGAAAAAAAAAGTGGAGAGGTGTGCGATGGGTGAGGGGGTTGAAATCTGTTCACGGTGTTTTAAATATTAAACCTATTTCAAGTTTAATGAAGTGCAAATACTATGGGGAGAGTCTTAACTGGAATACAGAGAGGAAGGGGGCGAAAGGGGGATCCGATTCATTATTTCAAGTGTTCACCTTTAGACTTGCGAGACTTGGGGAGAGGAGCGCAGAGAGAAAGAGAGAGAGAGAGAGAGAGAAAAGGAGAGAAAGTTTATGCCGAAGTGCAAACTAGAGGGTAATCTTCCGAGTGCCTGTCCCAGCTGAGTCCGGGAGGCTCCGGAGCTCCAGAGGATGAAGGTCTGAACTCGAACAAGCCAAAACACGCAGCTCTATACCGAGCTCACAGGAATAAACAGTGGAGGGTTTTATGGAAAAATTATCTCACTTTTTTTTTGTAGCATGTATTTGTGGGGCCTGTGTGTGAATACATCTCCGAGCACTGGTGTGTGTTAGCGGTTGAGGAGGGGGAACTCTGAGGCCACAGAGCGCAGAGGAAGAGAGTCAGATAAAGATGTTGGATTTCAAAAAAGATTCTCAATGTAATCAATGTGCAACAGCTAGAGGGAAATGGAAAGAACAACCCACTGTGATTGAACTGTTCACGTCCTCATAATCACATGCTCCAAGATGTGTGTGTGTGTGTGTGTGTGCATCACACCGGCCATGTACTGTATTGCCAAAATCCCCCAAGCTGCCACTAAAGGTCACTGTCTGTGTGTGTGTGTG